GGTAAATTAAATTACTAGTACAATCTTTCAATTTTTGTTGTAACTTTTAATCTTATGTTATTTTAAATAAATGCTTATTTTTCTATTCATTTTTAAATCCTTTGTTTAATATGTGCGCAGATACACCCCTTAAAAATGTATTGGAATCTTCTTTCCGCCTTTCAACTGTGATCAAGGTAATTTACAACAGCGATCACGGGCTCCGAGTGCATGGCAACTGAAAACCTGTTTGGTATATGTACATCTTGAGTTCACAGCTTAATGACACCTGAAAATTGGACTGGATTTTATTTTTTTTTTTAAATGGTTCTATAAATATTTAATGGGTACAACGTACAAATCAGCGGATTTCATCTTTTATTTGTAAATCCAAATTTCTAGCCGTAAACAGTAAAATAAACAGAACTGATTTAGTAGTCATGTAAGAAAAGCTTAGGAGTAAATCATGAATAATGTATATTATTTGTTTTATAAGTCACGTACTTTTTATTTCATCTTAGATATTTCAATTTTCTTATATTATATCTGAATGCCGGTGTAAAGATCGATCTATATTATATGTACAGTGGTACAATGTATAATCAAATGCGGCGACTCTTAATTAATGTACACATATATACAAACGTTTAGTCGCGTTATGAAATGAAGGATTTTACAGTATGATGGGTATACTGATGTTATTTGATAAGCTTCATGTAAAAAGAGAAATTGAATAAGAATAGATTAAGACATCACATTTAACGCCCCCCCCACGTTACCGGTTTCCCTCCTATAGATAATGCTTACGTAAGATAAAAAAAAATAATCGTGATAAATGTATGAATAATCGTTAGTAGAGTACATGTATATCAGCAAATTTAATTACTAGATCAAAATCAAGAAAAATAATCCGCCTACGGAAATCAAACACAATATAATCAATATTATTTAAAATCAGTGAGTTCATTTTCCTGCAGTAAGAAATCGAATTTATGCTTGATTTATTAAGTTATACTCGTAAAAATATTACATTGAAATGAATGACTAATATATAAAAATTGTATTTTTTTTAACAGTCATTCATGATATCGGCATTCCGTTTTTAAACAGTTGGATAAATAAATAAATAAATACGAAATGAAAATATTTATTAATTAATTACAACTGTCAGAGTATTAAATATTTCTATCGGTTTATATAATACTAGGGTACTGATAGTTAATTTAAACAGCTGCTAAATGTGACTTTGTGATAGATTTCCATTTAATTAATGATAAAACCGTAATAATGCCCGAGATATTCCGAGTAGAAAATCCAAACCGAAGCCAAACGTGCGAGAATCGTGTACAAAGCGTGTGAGAAACGTGTACAAAGCGTTTCGTGCAGCGTTTCGTGTAAACCGTGCAGCCTTTCGTGCAAAGCGTTTCGTGTAAACCGTGTAGCGTTTCGTGCAAACCGTGTAGCGTTTCGTGTAAACCGTGCAGCGTTTCGTGCAAACCGTGTAGCGTTCGTGTACCGTTCGTGCAGCGAGCGTGTGGGGTAGTAGCACGTCTCAGGGTCTATATATATATATATATATATATATATATATATATATATATATATATATATATATATATATATATATATATATATATATATATATATATATATATATATATCAGTAAATGTGATTATACGTGTCTTTTGATCGAGTGGGTGTTTGAAGAACCAATAACTTGATGAAGGTGTAAAAATAATAGAATTGATATACCATTTAAAGAAGAAGGTTTAGTCAGTTCAGGAAGTTGATAATCCGCATCATCTATTGATTGTAAAAACAATATTAGTAACATTTCCAATATTTCATCGCATTACATCATATTATTTTTTGAGTACTTACTGTTTTTTTTTTTATATACATGTACGTAAATTTTTAGTAGAAATTCAGTATCGAATAATTGTTGATGTCTAAAATATCAGTTACCCTCTGAATTTGTTGTATTTCTTCCACAGCCAGACACATGATTACAAATATCTTTTCTACATTGACAGTTATACTCACATTTTCTGCCAAATGTTGGGAATGGACAAGGTGAAGACCAATTCAAACCATAACATCCCTCCATACATTCTTGAGAACAAAAAAAGGCGTTGTTAAGAAACCTATGTGCAATAAAGAACTTAAAGTAAAACCTAATCATTTTTTTTATATTCAGCGTACATACCAGTGCATTTATTAAGCGTTTTATTCCAGATACATCCAAAGCAACAGACAACAGATTCCGTAGGTCTGTTGACAAATACTTCATGCAATAAAATCAACATATTTCTAGAAACCTTCTGAAATCATTCAAGATAATATGCAATAGTAAAACAACCAGTTTAATCCATTTGAATATTTAGGATAATGAAAAGACATTACTTACCCATCACAACTGACTGAAGTATATATCTGCCACATATAAATGTAAAAGATAAATACTGGAAAAATTATTTTCCAGTGCAGTAGCTGAATTTTAGAGTAAACATTATTTTATTTTAGTCTCTTTTTAGGAAAAGCTCATTCATAAGCTAGAGACTTTTCCGTCCTTTTCATGTTGTTTTTTTTTTATTACCAAATGTTATTCAACACATATTTATCATTTTCTTTAAAATTGTTTAACAAATGAGTACATTAAATGATTAAAAAAAATACTTGAAGTTCTTTCAAAAAGTAAAATGAGAAAAATTTGATGCGGTATTTCACAAATTTGGCGTGAAAATTAATTTTCTGGGAGGGAGGATACTGCTTCATGTTTAAAAAAGAATCAAGTACACTCAACCCACGTTATACAGTATAACATGTTAAGCTACTAAACTTATTTCTTAAATATTTATTCAGACTTTCTTTAGTGGTAATATTATAATATTTCATCAGCAGAAAATATATGAACAGGTTGAATTATATGTTGTAAAACAAACAAGTATGTACCTTCAAAACAAAAATACATTTATATCCGTGATTAAATATTTGCACGCTTGGTATCTGTAATGTAACCATTACCTTAATTGATATAAATTTCGGTTGTACTTTGATAAGTACTCTTAAGTATTAATTTGTATTCAGCATAATGATGCACACGTAAACATTTGTTGTCCAGTAAAATAGTTAACACACATATTCATATTTTATTTTATTTCTGCAAACTATTGCCTTTTATAATTTCTAAAAAGAAACAGCATTTTCCATAATCTGCAGTTAACTTTTTATAGATAAAAAAGTATATATTTACATATTCTATAAGCAATTCTGTAGTACATGAGTTAAAGATCTTTTGGTATTTCAGATCTCCATTGATCCTATATTTCTACCACTTTCTTCAAGACAAAATGTACCAGCATAAATAATTAATAATACAACAGCGACCACAGCAAGACCAATGATACCTGCAACCATCGGGGATAGGGTTCTTGTCGTTGACAAGATTAAGAGATTTCTGTTAAAATCTGGTTTAACAATGTTACGGCTGGTATTCTCCTCTGAAACTGTTAAATATCATTGCAAAGTAAATTTATATTAACATGTAAGTTGCATCAAATTAAACAAATCACCACACTTTTCATCTACAAAGTTTCTCAAATGTCCACATAAAACTGAGGGAAAAGGAGATTTATTTAAATATATTTTACGACGCTGATCTTTATTCTTGAAAACAAAATATTTTCTTGTTTCTTTGTATTTTTTTCAATAAAACAATGCTTCATTTTGAATTATTAAAAATATGTTCAAATAAGAAATAATTTGTGTTCATCGGGATTAATATTTAAGAAATAAGGTATCATTTTTAAACATCTATCGGGATAGAAATACGACTTGGTCACGAGATTAAATTCCATAAAGCCTGAAGGGCTTTATGATGAATTTAATATCGTACCAACCCGTAGTTATAGCCCAATAGATGTTTTAAAATGATACCTTATTACTTATATTTACATTTGTGACATTCAATCTTTATATTTGCCTGGTTGTGACTTCTAGCGTGTGAAATGCATTATTTTTCAAACTCAACGGCAAGTATGTAATCCACTGAAAGCCCGTCGACCCTTTATGACGTCACTGAGAAATTACGTCAAACGATTATCCATGCCCACATCTATGACCTCTTGACCCCGTACCTGTATTTATACAGTTGTAAATACACTTATCTGATACTTTTTGATACATTCTTTATAGATATTCATTATGTTATGCATTTTTGTGGATATCAAGCAGATATTTCGTTTCTTGTAATTTTTGTATTATTCTACTTTTTTGATTTTATATGTGATATGTTTGCGGATTACTTATGTTCCTTTGCATTGACAAATCCCTCCTTTGCGATACTGTAACTTCATTTGCAAATTTACATTGTAGCATCCATTTTGATATAATGGAACTGTACTAACAATTTTACAATGTTTAATCCATTTTTGTATAAGGAAACTGTAATTTGCATATCAACATTTTGAAATCTATTTTGTTATGGAACTATTTTAAAAAGTTTGTACAAGTTTATGATTTGATTTTATCAAAATATTATTATATTTTGATCAATAAACTTTTTTCAACACACTTGGGAGTTTGTCTTATTTTGATGTGTAGGTAGGAAAAGAGGAGGCATAAATACAGTTATAGATACGCATTCCTTTCAGTAGTGTTATATAAAGGAAAACATTGCAAATGTAAATATAAAATAATTTATATTTTTAATGAAGTGAAGCAAGATAATAATGAGATAATGAAAGTTTTATTTAAATATTTTTTTTTAATTTACTAGCATATTTTTTTCGTCTTTATTATATTTCTTTCTTTTTTTTATTTTGGATGCTCCAAATTTCAATTCAAAACATCATAATGGAAAATTAAATTATATAATCACGGACCTGATTCAAACTTTGAGAAAATGTACAAAAAAAGGACTATACAGCAAGCTTCTCTCTTGCATTTTCCGTAAGATTTGACTTGAAACACAATAACATTCTTTTAATTTTTCAGGAGAAAACTTTGATTTTTCCTAAAGTAAATACCTTTTTAACATGATTAATTAAGCCTATGAATATATCAAATAATCTGATACCTTCCTGCTACATGTACTCAGTACAATCAACGTTTGAAGGAAATAATACATTTTAATATATTTAATAATAGTAATTTCTATTTGTACCTTGATCACTTGTTGTTGATAATACAGGAACAGAATTGTTTCCCAAGGATTTATCAAAGATGATGAGAACTGCAGAACTGTCAGATGGACGTGTAAGATATCCAATATCTAAAAATTAAAGATTAACTTTATTTAACTTAATATTACATATTCAAAGTTTTATGTTAGTTTGTTAGGTCCTTAGAAAGGCTTTTGAAAACATACATTGTTTACGGGTGTTTTCAAGATTTTAATATTAGATATGTTTGACTACGAAAGACATTTGCATTAAAATTGAATTAATCTTATAATCTTTATGCAATACAGCAAGGGATAATTATATGAATACTTTAGTAAAAGAAATAAACCTTACAGACGTCTATATTACACTACATGTACAGTACCTGTAGTGACTGATTTTGTTAATGTATGTTTACATCCTTTTTCAAAATGGCACATATCCTCTTCACATTTACAATGTTCTTGACACATGTTACCATAACTAGGATATCTGCAAAGGTCCTCGCAAAAGTATCCATAATACCCGATGTCACAATCTATAAAATGAATGCATCCTACTTTATATTTCAATATCAGCCTTAAATTTATTATATTAGATAATAAAATTAGGGGATACCTTGAGGGTTTTTCCTACATCCCAGCTGATGGTCACAATTTAATTTACTGCAATTACAGGAGGACTGGCAGTCTTTTCCAAATGATGGGTACGGACAGGGATCATTGCAGTCTGGTCCATAAAAGCCTAAAGTACAAGCTGTTGAAATGAAAATTATTTGAAATTTAGATAATGAAATTTTTATTTTATGATTTGATTAGGTAGCTCAGTTAGGAACTAGATTGTAGTTTAAACATACGGGTACATTTGCCTGAAGCGTCGTTCCAAACATAACCAGCGCAGCAAACTGAAGTACCACCCAATCTATGATTCATTTGTATAATGATAAGCAATATATTAAAAACGATTCCATTGTTCTGTTATATTTTGTTAGTTTGTTTTAATATTAGTATTTCAGTCAAAAAAATTTATACATGTTCAATAGTCATAGGGACTGAAATCTTATACAACTATGAATACACTTACCCACTGCAGTTTGACAATGAAGAAAATTTTATCAGTTTCAAAAATTCTAAAAGAGCTGAGACTATAGGAAGATATCTCATAATTCAAAATTGAATTTTGGCTTATAACATTTCCTCGTTTGTTTAAATATTTTAATGAAATATGTACATGTAGCTAACATTTCCTGCATATGACGTAAGTAAAATAACTTGTACTTTAATCTAATGTTGTATTTTTCCGTGCCAGTCATTCGGACAATCATTACATCTTCCTGATTTTATATTATTGTATAAAATCTCATACTTGCATGGCTATTTGGAGATGTTTATAATTTCACATAAGTTGTTATTAACTTTTGCGGAAGGAAATTTGTTTGTCTTTTATCGGATGTTACATAAATAGTGTGTGTAGCATATGATAACAGATAAATAAAAACTTATTATAGCATGCATATGTATCTAAGTTGATATCTGCATTTTTTGCATTATTTTTATGCCCCCGTAAACGAAGTTTCGGGGGCATATAGTTTTTGTCGTGTCCGTCTGTCTGTCTGTCTTTCTCTCTGTCTCTCTGTCTGTTTGTCTGTTTGTCCGCAAAAACTTTAACCTTGCCCATAACTTTTGATTTAGTGGAGCTATGACTTTCATATTTCATATGTGTATTTCTTGTGACAAGACCTTTCTTTGGGTACCACCAAATTTGACCTTTTGACCTTGACCTTGGAGTTTGACCCACTTTTACATGAAAATTTTAAAATTTTACTTTGGTCATATCTGTTGAACAATAGACACCAGGACATTTATACTTCACATATGTAATGTTTGTTAAGGTCAAGATCTAGTAAATAACTTGAGACTAATTTTTTGGTGCTAGATCCATTATGACGTCATAATCAATTTCAACTTTCTTTTTCCCGTACTTTACGGTTTTAGCAGAATTATGTAGAAAATATGATATTTTCATGTCATTCAATTTGAAATCATATGAAAAGTAAACCGGATACCTATATTTAATTTGATATTGATTAAAGAAGAGGCCATGAACATACTAATTACCATTTTCTGAGAGACTGTAGGCAATCTGGATACATTTCCTTTGCCGAATACGAAAAAAACTCCCATATTCATGACTGGTTTTCTTAATTTTTCATTGAAAATGACAGTTTGAAATACAGTGTTTCATCTTGTTTACCTACAAATCATGGCCCGAAACACATTATTTGACCAAGCTAAAGTTGTAAAGCATCAATAAAGGAATTTATTTCTCAAGTTTGATAAATCTGTAGGCACCTTTCATTTACTAGATCTTGACCTTAAAAGAACTTTTAAGGGATACCAACAACCTTGACCCTTTGACCTTGACCTTGTAGATTTCTGTACTTGTGAAAAAACTTTAAACTTGGCCATAACTTTTGTACGGTAAAGGATGGGGCTTTCATTCTTCATACATGTAATCCTTGTGAGAAGACCTTTCATTGGATACCAAGAACTTTGACCCTTTGACCTTGACCTTTGAGATTGACCTACTTTAAAAAAGCAAACCTTGACCATAACTTTTAAAGAGTTAGGGCCAGTGCTTTCATACTTTACATATTTGATCCTTATGACAAGACCTTTCTTTGGGTACCACCAAATTTGACCTTTTGACCTTGACCTTGGAGTTTGACCCACTTTTACATGAAAATTTTAAAATTTTACTTTGGCCATATCTTTTGAACAATAAATACCAGGACATTTATACTTCACATATGTAATGCTTGTTAAAAGACCTTTCACTGGATACCAACAAACTTGACCCTTTGACCTTGACCTTGTAGATTTCCTTACTTGCCAAAAAACTTTAACCTTGGCCATAACTTTTGAACGGTAAGGGATAGGGCTTTCATACTTCATACATGTAATCCTTATGAGAAGATCTTTCATTGGATACCAAGAACTTTGACCTTTTGACCTTGACCTTTGAGATTGACATACTTTAAAAAGGCAAACCTTGACCATAACTTTTAGGGCTGGTGCTTTCATACTTAACATATTTGATCATTATGATAAGACCTTTCATTTGATAACAATAACTTTGACCCTTTGACCTTGACCTTGGAGTTTGACCTACTTTTTAAGAAATTGAACGTTGACCATACCTTCTGAACGGTTAGGGCTAGGGCTTTCATGCTCTACAAAAGTATTTTATGTGGCAAGACCTTTCATTTGATACTAATTACATTGGCCTTTTGACCTTGACCTTGGAGATTTTTGTATTTAAAAAACTTTAACATTAGCTTACTTTCAAATTTCACAATTGTTTCCCAGTGAGAATACCCTAATTTTGGTACCAATTAATTAAATTTGCATTTAAGAAAAGCTTAATCTTTGCTATGTTGCAATACGGGGGCATCAGTGTTTTACAAACACATCTTGTTTTATTTATTTATTTTTTTTGTTGAAGGACAAGTTAGTGTTAAACTTTTATTCAGACGCATTAGTTTTGCCAAGATTATGTGTATATTAAGGATAAAATTTAATATGTGAAAGTCAAATGTCTATCTGCTTAAATGTATGAAACTACATCCCTTCTACCCAAATGAATATCTTTTCCTTTATCTAGAGTGATTTGATCACAAAATATTTTGTTCTGGACTGAAAAACGTTTCTAGTCGAGCCTTTTCATTGTACAATACACAAGTATACAATGAAATGCTCATCCACAGGAATTGTCAAGTTTTGATATTTGTTCAATTTATTGCACCTTGAATTTAACATTGATGATTCTTTTAAAGATATATAAAGATGGTAATTTTTTTTTTTTTTTTTTTTTTTTTTTGTAAATATGCTTTATATCTCTTTTTATTAAACTATGAAATAGATTGAATCATTTGCACTGATATTTTGACAAATTAAAAGTTTTCTCTTTTACTTCAAGGACACATAGCTGTTCAAAAACTTTTACAGTAAAAAATATCCGCTTTTTACATCTGTATATTGATATATCATTTCTAAAGAAAATATTTTAGCACGGTTCAATAATATTTAAAAATCAATGTAGTTTTCTATTAATTTCAGATAGATATATAACTATTTATAAAATTCATACAATAAATTTTTTGATACATGTAGTAACAAGAATTATTTCTTACAAAACACGTTGATTTGTAGGAATACCGAAATGGGAAGTTTTTGATCTATATAGGAGTGCATGTCCCTTGGTATTATACCAAATGGATTTTCATCATTCGTGTCTTCCCTCCTGGCCAGTGCAGTCCATTAAACAATGTTTTACTCGGAGAAATGAAAAAAAAAAAATCAGTTATTTCGTGGTTCAAACTTCAGACAAATAAACAATAGAGAGAATGCTATCGATTGGAAGCTACAAATGTCTTTTTAGGTAAGAAATTTGATATCTCCGAACTCGGTACGATCGAATAAATTAAAATCTGTAAAAGAACAATATCTAAAAAATCTATAGTTAACTTAGCGGCACAGCTAGTTTTCTTGATTAAGTTTTAGATTAATTTCATATGTCATTAACTCAATTATTTAACGAAAAAAATTTTTGATAATTTTCATGTTTTATCCAAATATAAATACACCATACAGTGGTCATCGAATGTTTTGTAAAATTTTGCTATACACCTTAAATTTTGTATGTGAAAAAAAAACTAATAATATAACTATCATGCTTATTTGAGACATAATGCAAAATGACACACATTAAAATATATATTCATAGAAAAAACGTTCATTTAAACACATTATATATGTATTACCTTTTTTTTTAAAAGTTAATACACTACTAGATCTTTTATAAAGAAGATAGGTGAACAAGGCGGGCAGAGTGCCTATAGCGTCCGATATTAAGAAATCATATTCAGTAATATGTGAATTGAGTATTTCAATTAACTTATTATTGAATTTTTTGAAATTATGAGGAAAAAATACTTTGAGAGAAAAAAAATTTCGCTAAAAAATTTTTCTTTAATAAAATTAATAGATGGTATTCGTGGGATTCGAACCCTAGCAATAAAAAAAAGATGTATAAATAGCATGATGCTTTGAGACTAACGCGTGAACAACTATGCTACATCACTCGTGATGATTTTGGGCATTTAAATTATGTTTGTGATATGACCCGCGCCTTAATGGATTTGAAGTATTTCCCGAAAAGATGCGAATGTTGTATCATAAAAGTGTTCTTTTAAGGTATAGTGGACCTTCGCTCCATGTTTTTGTAAACCAAAAAATATGTATTTTATTTCAAAATTTTAGAATAATTTTTCAAAAAATGGAGCGAAGACCCACTCATAAAGAAAAATTTTGTTAAAGTACGAGAAAATGATCGTTTTTGTTCTTTTTAGTGTGTGTAACCTTTTCATAGGCAAATATTTTCTGTTTTTACTTTAATACTAGATGAAATATCAAATAAAATTTGGATTTTATTGAGATTAAAATTTTCACTTCTTATCTGTTGCACTATAGGCACTTCGCCCGCCTTATCCACCGATCTTCTTTGATTACATATATGTTTTCATGGGAATATTTCCTGTCAATTCGCTGTAGAATTGTATCACAGAATGCAATCAACAAGGTACTTGTTTTGAGTACAATATATATGTGAACGAGAAAAAAATCCTTACTGGTCTAAATAAGTATTTAATTTTATATTATTTATTTAAATTATTCGTTTAGCTTTTTATGACTTTAGTGATGCATTGAAAACAATTCCGAATAAGGGGTGATATTCTCAAAAACTTCCGACGACGAGGGAACATAAACTTGATGACTCCAACATTTCAATCGTCAACTCCCTTTACTTACATGCAGCAATGTGTAAGTTATATGCTCGATACAATGACCTTGTCATACACTCACTGACCTTTTTTTCCAAACTGATTACCATGCTATTATTTACACACTAAGTTGTCCAAGGTTTCCCTAGACCCAAACTTGACAAGGAACGCTTGTTTATGGCGGGTGTGACCGGTCTGTAGGGAATGCTAACACCTCCATGGCACCTGATCAAACCTTTGATTTTTTATGGATGTTCTTGTTTTTTATGCTCATTTGTTTTTGTTTAATGGACATTTACGCTGTTCGTTATCTACATATATTTCATTTTCAAAGGTAAAAAAATAATTTTTGCATAGTATGTAGGAAAACAATTCAGTTGAGTTTAATCTTGTCTATCAATGCTGTTTCATTTTATGTTTGATTGAAAACTGAACAATTAACATATATAAAGCTTTCCATCATAATTTTCTTTCTGCAATATTTAATAAGTTTGCAATTGGTCAGTAGAAGTAATACATGTCAACATTGTTTTATTAGTGCATAGTTGATGTCGTTTTAAAAAAAGAATGCGTAAAAATAACAACCAATGCAAAAATGATACATGTAATAGTTTTTTTTAAACAGTTTTAATTGTAATACAGTAAGTATCATAAAACAAATAAAAAAGTTATATTTTTAAAAAAATATATATCTCTACACATATTCATACAAGATTTGCATCTCTTTATCAATGTTAGCATATTTAATACTATCAAAAAGAAAGCTACAGTCCCCAGACTCATTATTCCATACACTGAGGAGTTCAGTTCTTTATCTGTACTTGTACATGTAGCTATGTCAGAGAGTTGATTATTCATTGCGTCACTGTTCTTCATATGTTTGTTAATGAGGCCGCTTGCATTTGTGGCTAAATAAGAGTTTTAAATAGAAAAGTAATCTCTTAGGAAATGAAATGCTTTCCTTGGGTTGTTATTATTGGGATACATATTGCACCTGTCGCAGAAAAAAAAATGTTAGCTTCAGCAGATTACGTCATTTGTTTGAATAGCTGCAATGTTTGATCCTGTACTAATTAGCTGATTTTTTTTATTGTTTGTTTTGATATGTGTATGTAGACATACCAATTAACACACTTTAAGTATGATACAATTAATATTTATGTGTAGGAGAAAACCATCAAAGTTTTAATAAGAATCACAGAAGATTTATTCAAAAGTTATAATCATAAGTGTCATTCAATGTATCAGGTGTTGAAAAAAAAAATCATTCAGAAGAAAAGAAAATAAAGTAATATAATTGGTTTACCATTTGATAAAGTAGATATCGTTGATTCAGATTGTTCTTGTTCCGCAATTTCTATTTATTGTAAATTCAATAGCTTAAAGTAGATTTTAAAATTATCAATATTTGTCACTCAACAGTCACATTAAGTTAAATTGGGTTTAATTTAATACTGTTTTAATCAAAAAAGTATTTTTTTTAGAAATTAAATATTAGAAAATAATTGAGTAATTACCTGCTAATGTTGATCCATATATACCACAGCCAGTTATGTGATGACAACTCTCATTCGTACAATTACAATCCCCCTCACATTTCCGGCCAAATGTTGGATAAGGACAAGGTGACGAGCATTTCTCACCATAAAATCCATCCAAACATTCTTGTACATTTAAAGAAGTTTATTATTTAATGAAACATGTACAACACACTAATATGAAATAAAAACGAGTTATTCAGTATTCATAATACATACGAATGCATTCGTTTACCGTTTCATTCCACATATATCCGAAGCAGCAGACAAGCGGTCTGTTAAAAAAATAAATAATGCAATTAAATAAAAAAAACTTTGACATTTTACTTATAAAAGGTTTAATGTTGTTCCAAATAATTTAAAATAGATTAAATATGAAATCAGTCATCCTATGCCATTAAAATATTTTGAATAAAGAAATGGAATTGCTTACTCACCACATATGCTTGAAGCAGATACCTGCCCCATTATGTACAAATACAGTAACAGGAAAAAGTATTTTCCAAAGCATTGCTGCATTTCAGAGTCACCATTCTTTTATTTTAGTCGCCTTTAAAAAACACTAAGTTTATTCCTGCTGAATTTAATTTCCTTTTTTGTATTGTTTTCTGATTCATTTCACAAATGGTACCACTATGTCCTATTCTTCAAAAACTGATTAACAACTGAAAGGAGAGCACTTAATGAAAAAAAGATATTTAAAGAGAATAAGCATTTTTTTTCCCACCTTTGTCTATAAAAAATATCGTCCTCCCGTGAAACACACAAAAAACTGATATATTCGTGATATGACAGTCTAAAATATAGATTACGACGTATTAAATGGCATTTTTGTTTTATGGGGGATGTTATACACTTAACCACTGGTTGTGAGTGGGATAACTCTACTAATAAACCCGCGACAAGCCCTCTGGGAATAGTTCCTGTCAAGGATTTGGTGAAAGAGCTAACCTACTCACAGCCAGTGGATAAATGTTTTATTAGATTGATGTAAAATTACAATTTTTGAGGTTGGAATTTTTTAGTAAGATAATACTACAAGAATAATCTGACATCATGATGACGTCAAAATGCTACTGAAGTCATTAAGACATCATCAGTTAATAGATTTATCGCTGGAAATAAAAATTGGTGGCAAAAATTGCATGAAAATTTTCCGAGGGTGGATAGCAAAAACTATACCCTGGGGTATACATTTGCTATGCGTGTACTATCAAAGATAGCTATGTTACCTTCTTAACTTTTCATGGGAAACAATTTAACAGAAGAATAATAAAATATTTTATTCCAATTTCCGTTGCTCTCTAACAAAAACACAGTCAAGTTTTACCAAAGTTATCTCTCTTTGTTTTCCCGAAAAGTAATTTTTTATGAAAATCTATTAAATTATCTTTTAAAATGTTAAAATTCATTTGAATATGTCAACTTTTAAAAATTGACTTCGGGGTAGGCAGAGAACAATACTAATGTATAAACGTCTTTCTGCATGCACTGCATACTCACAAGAGACAATATCAAAAGTGATGCAGTCAACCAATGAAAATTCCAGGTGAAGTAAAGTCATGAGACCTTTTTTCTGCATGATAAATAAGATTGATTAAACATTTTCTGTTATTAATAATATCATCTTCACTGAGTCATATTGTATTTTTTTTTACTTCTTATCGATCCGAAAGTATGAGACATGAGTATAGAGATGAAATAATGAATATAAATTGATCTATTAGGGCTTACCCTAGCACTTTTGCTAGGAAAAACTGAAATCAACAATCAAGAATTGAAAAAAAAAATAAAGCAATATGAGCTGTACTTGTATTCCTGAAAATTATGTTTAAATTTTAAACACATTATGTTTAAATCATACGTACTTGAAACTTTTAAATCAAATAGACTAAAACTTATTTCATTGTTTCAAAAGAATGACCTCTGTACAATATTAATTACTGGTTAGAAAATGGGATTATTAAATAAGGCAATAATGTAATTTTGAATAATTATACCGCACTTTCTATAGAAAGTTCTGGAATTTTGTTGTTACTCATGTCCCTCCGTCTGTCAGTCTCTCCATCCTTCCGTCCGTCTGTAAGACTTTTCTTCCCTGAACTCCTCCTACATTTTACTCAGTAGCCTAATCATCTTTTGGGAGATGGTCGGTGGTGTCATGTAGATATGTAGTATGGTTTCGGAATTTTCATTTTGATCCGGGAGGGGTGGTCAAATGGGGGTCAAAAAATGACATTTTTTGTGCAAAAAGCCCCGTCTTCCTCAACTCCTCATACATTTTACTCAGTAGTCTAATCATCTTTTGGGATATGAATGATGGTGTCATGTTCATGTACAGTAGGGTTTCGGAAATTTGATTTTGCCCCCGGGGGTCAAATGGTTGGTATTGTCATGTCTCTGAAACGATTACATTAAGTCTATGAAAATACCAACAACGCTGATATCTTTCTGCTATGTAAAACAATTAAATTTTGTAGGTAACAGATGTTCGTTATATCATACCTCTTCCTTTGTCACTGAAAGTAGATAGTTTAGATAATGTTTCGTAAGGATAAATAATTAAATCCAACGTTGATAGGAACCGAGGACTTAGTGGAGGGATGTGTAGAATACGGAGTACGCAGCACAGTTAAGGTTACAAAAAGGAGGCGGAACCTAATTTGTACGGAAAACGTGACTATGACATCATTCACAATATACGTCATACAACATTTCTTTAAAATACCACAAAATGAGTTTACCTGCCATTTTAACCAGTAAGAAATCATCAGACTACAAAAAAACTTACTGCAGCGTGTTGATTTGTCGTTAGTTAAATCCCACATAACAAGTTATAAACAAGTCACTGGTCGCAATACACTTGTCAATATGACACGTTTCTAATCATTTTCTAGAGTTAAATTACATAGCTCAATACCAATATTACGAAAACCTGCTTTCTAAAATTGACGTCATCTTGCCTATACTATGACGTCATAATGCAGCACTGATTTAGCCAAGGTAGAATATTTTGTATGCTTCCTTATTCCCTCTGCGAAGACAATCTTATCAGTTTAAAAAATTCTGAAAGAGGGGAGACTATAGGGAGATATCTCATAATTCAAAAATAAAAGTTGGTTTTTGACGTTTTCTCGTCTGTTTAAAAGTTTTAAGGAAATATGCACTTGAAGCTAGAATTTCCTGAATATGACGTAAGTGAAAGATATTAGACTTAAATTAAATGTCCTTTTTCCGTGCCAGTCGTTCGTTAAATCATTGCATCTTCCTAATTTTATATTATTGTATAAAACTTCATATTTGTATGAATATTTCGAGATGTCTGTAATGTCACATAAACAATTTTATGTTTCATAAAATGTTTTATATACAATCTTTTTTACATTGTTTTTGACAAATTTAGATTAAAATTACAGTCGTTATTGATTTTTAATGTAAAAAGAATGGGGTCGACAGGATCGGGATCGAACTCATGTTTGGATCGGGTTCGGCTTGATCGGGATCGAGTGCTCAATTAATTTAATTTTGCAGAAACAATGAGGTTGCAATCAATTTACCGCCACCTCCCATCCTCCTCCCATTTAATACTAATATTTGAATTTTTGATGTATGAAATTTTTCCTCATTGTATAACATCAAGCATTTAGCATGCTATGTGGCCTCTTTGTTACGCCACCTTCTTGTTACACAAACTTAGTAATCATTATATAACAATAGCTGGGATAAGCACTAAGTCGCAATATATCATATCTAAGTTGAAATTAATCATTATTTGGCCTTTTCCCAGACATAATTTACATGATTGTATGTAATATTGTATATTTATGTGTTTTTGTTCACTTTCGTCATTTATCTGGTCAATAAATGACATTTTCACTCAACTCAAGTTCTCGTGTCTTCACTAGTGTTTCGAGTAACAAGAACAAGCTACGGAAAGGTTTTTCATAGTGTGAGAGTTACTTTTATTAGTGGAAAAGTTGTGGATATAAATATATTTCTTTAAGGGCGTGTGTTTTTCATTCAACCAGACCCATTCTATTTGTTTTACCTAAAGATTTTATGCATATTAGGAATAAGATTTGATATGTGAAAGTCAAATGTTTATCTGCTAAAGTGTATAAAAAGAACAAACCTTCAACCTGAACGAATAATTTTCCTTTATCTAGCGTATATTTATTTAAAACAAATATTTCGTTCTAGACTGAAAAGATTCTGGTGAAGCCTCTGTAAAAGGCTCAAGTATACAACGAAAATAACCTGGATACATTTTAAGAATTTAGATGGGATTAAATAAAATCCGTTTGAGTTAAAAATGTAGGGAGAAAACAGAGATATCCGAGTTTTTCATTCTGAAGACTCTGGTTTTCTTTTCCTTTAATTTTAACCTCAACCGAAAGTTTTGTATCCCATTCAAAGTCTTAAAATGTGTCGAAGTTATTTTCGAGGAAGAAATGAATAGTATACAATTAAATGGTTCGACTATAGATGTCTGAAACGATTGACCAAAAAATATGGTTTCTCAAAACGAACGATATATTTTTAAAGTAGGTTATTGATTAATATATATAAGCAAAATACGAACATGAAGCGGTCGTCCCTGAAATTGATTTAGGTGTCTTGAGGTTAAAAAATGTAGGATTGCCCCCAATACGAAACAAGTGCCTGTCGTACTATAAATATTTCTTGACAAAATCTATAAAGTATTTGATTTTGCGGGTATAAAAAAAGAATCCTTCACCATTCCAGCAACAATATTAAGATTTTTAAAGTTTTTATTCACTGATTTCATAAAAGAAATCGGTAAATGTACATAAGAATGAAAAAGTCAAATTTATTTTATTTAAACATTATTTCTTATATCTTATCCTACCACATTGACTTATATAAATGATTTTGTTTTTTTCACTTGTTAACTGTCGGTTTTTCCAAATGCCCCAGTTTGTATATTATACAACTAAGACTGAAATGAATTCTCTCTACATGAATCAATACTTAATTTAAATGAAATATAATTTTTCACCTAGTGTTATAATAGTTGTTATTTGTAATTTCATCAGCTGTAATTCATTTTTCTTGAACATTTGAAAAATGAAGAGGAAAGTATTTCTATTCAATGGAGTAATCGGGATGTGTAGAATTTATAGGTAAGACTTATGGAATACGTAAATAAAAAGAAATTTTCAAAACAGTCGTTTTCTACGTATATGTATCTTCATGTTATCAATGAAACTCTAATAAAAAAATAATTCAACGTGAATGGGTGTGTCTTTCTTTAAAGATTAATGAAATTGCATTCACAAATAGAATACTTCAGTATAAAATGAAATATATGTAGAGAACACACAGTATTCAAGAAAAACATTCCATTAAAAATACCAAAAAGGGGCATAGCAAACAAGGACCTCCAAAATATCAAAGGTGGGATCAGGTGCAATGGAAGAGAGAAAATCCCCTGCCGACCGGTCAAACCCACCGTGCGTTTCTTGTCATGATCAGAAAATAATGGAAAAATCCATCGTCAATTTTGTGTATAAATAATGGACTTACAATTACTATAAAAAACGTCTGTCAGCATTTGACTCATTGATAAACTGTATTTGCTGACAAGGTCATTGTATCGACCATAGAACTTATAAAATGATGACTTCAAACGAGACTGCTGATATTCTTCGCAGGTAGGTTAAGGTTACAACCAAATATTCTACTTGCCTATGTGATATGACGTCATAGTAAGCAATATAACGTGAGGTTTGGAGATAATAATTTCTTAAAATCGATATCTAAGATTGATTTGAAGTCGTAAAAATGAATCAAAATATGCAGAGGCATAGTGTAAACGGAATTTTGTCGTTCCTGGGCCTCTGTACTTATCACAGGGGTTACATACCAAACCCGTGACGTCATAACTGTTGATCATGCAGTAGCAGATCGAAACTGAATCGTAACGAGAATTCATGTAAACAAACACAAGAAATTGGAGTTTAAAAGCATTTAGAATGAATATCATGTGTGATTCTTGTGGGAATAAAGCGTATGAATTAGGTATGGTAATATAATTTTGCAATTTCCTCGTAGAATTATAGCAGGGAGGGTGTTAACTTGTCGATCAGCCTTTCGTCTGTCGTTCGTAACAAAAAAGATGCAAAAGTTCAACACTACGCCGCATACCTTGAAACTTAATTTTTGTTTCTATCTAAAGTTCTTATTCTTTTGTTTTCGGAAAGTGCTGCTAGAATCGTAGGGTTTACGGGAATCGATGCTTTTTACAAAATGTAAAAATTTTGGGAAGGTTTCGTCCGAAATTGTTGAATAATTAATTCTATAATAGGACAGTACGATTCTAGCAGCACTTTTCATGGTATGGAGATGTTTTTACATAACTATTATTACAAATTGAAACTAATTATCACCGGAGTAGTGTTAAACTTTTCACTTTTTCATTAAGGCATATTTTCTAATTATAGACGTCACGTGGTGACGTCGTGGTGAAGTGCCTCCTGTAGTATAAGTGCCATTGAAGTCTATAGAATGCATAATTATAGCAAAAGTTTTATCCTTGACTTTTCCGATTTATTAGTGTTACATAATTATAAAAAAGTGTGAATTCGCCGAATTCTGATCCATGTGCTGCCTTAACATACCCGCGTTGTTTTATCAGCTGTTTGTCAAAAATATACCCTGTTTTGAAAATTGTTCATACGTAGAGCATGCTCTTGCGTATCGAATCAACTGAGATATATAGACTCCGCATGCAGGTGATGAAGGTATATTGCTGCATAAGTAAGGGAAATTGACGATAGAAAAGATTGTCATCAAGTCTATCATAGACCTTGGTTGTTAAATTACCATTAACGTCTTTTTCAAGTAAAATATCCAGGTGTGAAACAGATGTGTCAGACTCCGTGGCATCTTTTATCTCAAGCTCACCAAGCTCACCAGGATATATCATATTCACATATGAGTGGAACAAATTCATTGTTAAATTACAATACGTCATCAATATATATATATATAAATGTCAAGTTGAAGGCTACAGCAAGTGATTTTTTTTTCTTATCATGCAAGAGATTTTGCTTCATATGAATACAAAAATAGGTCTGCTAATAAGGGAGCGCAATTGGTACACATGGAAATTCCAGTAGATTTTTGTAAGACCTAGTGTCCAAAAACCACATATTGTCAATCAGAAATTCAAGCATCTTTTTGTCAACTTCAGAGTAGTTGTGTGTGCAATCAGAATGTGTTTTAACAAAATAATAAACAAATGATCACGTAAGTAAATTTACGAGTTTATTTTTTTTTTGGAAAAAGTAGCTGTAAATGATACCCAAAAGCTTGGCCTTTAATTTATCATAGTTTTTAAAATGTTGATTTTGGTAAATTCTTGTGACTTCAAACTGTCCAAACATTTTTTATTTGGAATTTTTGAGCATCCACATCCGATTCACCACTTCCTGAATATATTGTTACGCAGTACTCCTGAAGTTTTTCCTTCACTACAGTCAATATCTTAGTGAGGAGAAAAGAAAGAGGCTTGGTTGAACATTTACTGGAACCTGCAATGTATATTTTTGGTAAGAACTCTTATAAAGTTTCAAGTTCAAAAATTAAAAATCTTCATGTATTTTAATCTACAAAATACTTAGTGACAGGACCTTGGCAGAATGACAATTAGTATGCCGTTGCAATGGGGGTAAAGAACAGAAAAAAATATCTTGATATTTTCTATGCTTTTACGACATGAACAAAATCTTGTCTGTAACCACATATCACTAAGGCATCTCGAAGGTATTTCCAAATAGTTCAGATGCTAACGCTTTAATGTTTTCTGAAGTGGAACTTCGCATTTTTGCATTTATTGCCTCTAAAGCATATCCATACTCAACTCTTTTATTTGCAGGTACATGTACACCATCTTCGTAAAAGCAACTGGGAACACCAGCTCTGACAATAAGTACGACATAAGCTTTCTGCTGTTTAATCATAAAACCAGGTGACCCTGAAGATCCAGGTGCAAATGTCGTGCTGAAAAGTATCTTCTGTGGTGGATCACGCAGTGTTGCGTAATAATCAATTCTATTAGGAAGATTTTGTCTACTCCAGTCACTTAGCCATTTAATGTAAATATCAACCTCGTTGTTTGGTTTGATTATGTTTGGATAAACTTGACTGTCTTCTTTCATTTGCACGCAGCCAATGTGGCCAATAAGGTGAATCTCTGATGGATACTGCATTTATCCAAATGAAGTCAATGGTGGCGCCAACGTTACGGTGCTTTCCTGGTGAACTTTTAATTCTAGAATAGCTTCATCAAATTCTTTATCCATATAGTGAAGAGTTGGTTCAAATCTAAATTTCTTCCTTGGTTCATCTGTCTGGGCCACTTTTGTCTTGCCAAACTGAACGCAGATTCTATCACATTCGATATACTTTTGATCTGAAAAATATACCTTTTGACATACACAGTGAGCTAGAGACTGGATAAAATTTTAAATAATGATAGTCTAAGAAATAAGCCTTTTATATATAGCTATAGTTCTACAGATTGTGTTAATCTTTGATAAAGATACGTATTAAAAGTTTAAATGAGAATTTAGAATTTTTTGGTCGACAAAATTGCAGTATTCAAGCGTAATACATGTGAAAAGAAGTTGCAGTGTACCACTGTTCTTTCTCTAATCAGTGGTACGTTGTAACTTCTATTCACATGTATTACCCTTGAATACTGCATTTTTGTCACTAAGACCAACCACACGAATTCTAACGAAAACTGCTAACCTTTGACAATATTTTCTAGAACATGTAAGCATGTCATGATATATTTTTCCCCAACACGAAATCCTGTTCCCACAGAAATTCCATCAACGAGTATTAGTCCTACACTCTTGCTGACCTCTACTTTGATAAAGCTTGTCATCACATCTGTTGGATACACTCCCTTGGAAAATGGATATTCAGGTTCTGTTCTTCGTGTTTTCTTTCCCTGAAATGTATTTGTTGTAAAATTAAATGCAACTGCAAACCTTATTTTTTTCTCTTCATTTTTACTTTTATATCAAATATACAATATGTTTCTCTCTCAAAAAATTGAGAAATATCATATACATGTATTCATTATTTAAATTACATCTCCATCGCATTTCTTTCTGTTTCGCTATGCATCATCAGAAACATGTCCCCATTGCAAAGGTTACACTGTGCCTATATTTCCGTCGATTGCAATAAGAGTGCTAACCAGACTATTCAATATATCACATTTTTTTATCCTCTTTGTTTTTTTAATAAAATGTTAAATGCCATACCTCTGAACGATTGTAATCCCTGCAACAACCCTCCGTGTTTCCTTCAGTATTGGCATGAACATCCTGAAAATCGTAAATTTCTCATAAATAATATTGGGAGAATCTCAAATAGGTATTGAGAAAGTCATTAAAGATTTCGTTGATAATATAATCCATCAACTTGAATCAAACAAAATTTTCACTTCTACGTCCTTATATTGAACAGACATATTACTATTAAAAGAACTAGTCATATTCAGACCTAAGAAGCCAAAACAAAAGTGAAATTAGTATATTGAAATCTTTGTCATGAGACAGCTTAATGTAAAATGTACTGATGGTAAATAAGGTAACCTTTTCCCAGAAGCGCAGGATTTTTTCTACATTTATTGAATGCGTGTCAGAACAGAATTTGCACTGGATTTTTCCCTTTCTATTATTATAGGAAATTTCACTGACAGGTATAAATGACCGATCTTCATAATTACAAATAATGCGTTGGCATTTGTATCCTTTGTGATAATAAATTTTCTCATCAAATGTTTCTGTAAGATTTTTACAAGCAGATTGCACAGCCTCTCCAATCTCATTTGAAATGTTTGTCTCTATAACTGAAGGTTTAATGCGCTTCAGTTGCACCTGAATGTCATTTTCACAAATACCAATGACGACAGTGTGGTTTTTATAATCAAATATTGATGCTGTTTGATATAGGCCATAACTCTCATTTTCCCTGGTGACATCCCATTTAAGGTAACTCATGCAAATAGCAACTATTCTGTAGTAAACAAACATTGCAAATGAGTGAAATCGAAAACAAAGTATTGATGTGTATTCCCATTTTTCCTCTGAAAAGTCCTGGTGAAAAATTCTCTTGTTCAAACATGGAACAAACCATGCTTTGCCTGTATCTATGGTGTCGTTTTTGGAATGTAGAGCAACAATCATATGGAGTTTCTCAATTTTGGTCATAATTTCAGTTTTGTGATTCAAATACGAGGGTACATCTTGCCACAGAGCAGTCAGCAGTTTGTCATTTAATTTCCCTGTCTTGTTGAACAAGTTCCATTCTGTATATTACTTTCTCTTACAGTCTTTATGAATATGATTTTTTTCGGCTATAAGTTTGTTTACTGCAATAGCAAACCACTGAATATCAAGGATAACCTTTTGTTTTGAATGTTCTTCAAAATAATTTCCATCTTCAAACCATAACAACAACCCGTTATTGTGAAAAAACTTTAAAAATTCCGATAATGTTGCTTTGTTTTCAAGTTGAAATTCAAAAGGAAGGCATTTAGTGTTTTTATCCCAAATTTCATCAAATGACATAACTTCTTTCTTTTTCTCTTTGATCAGCTGTTCTAGCAGGGCCCATTTCGAAGGCACTTTTATTGTATTGTTCAGTTTTTGTGTGGCTGCTTTAATAATGGATGTTTTGATAGACTCTAATGTTTCTCTGCCTTCATCACTCAGACTAAGAAGATCAACTTCATACTCAGAGTCGACTAGAGAACCTCTCAACCAATCTCTGTCCTCCTCTGGAACGGCTTTCCAGAACTCTTTAAAATATTCATCAATTTCCTATTGATAAGAAAAATAACCAGTCCTTAATAACTTAAGCGTTATAAGTGCATGTAGATTTCAATTCAAAATGGTGTATGTTTTGCATGTTAAAAAGCTTCGGTAAATATCCACATTAAACTGCACGTATAATGTACTTACATCTTCAGATTTTCCTTCCGTGTGAGTAGCTATAATTAACACAGGGGCCGTTTCTACTACCAAATGTCTTGATGGATGAAATCCAGAACTTCACGTAGTCTAAAAAAGACATCTAAGTAGATTGCATCGGAGAAGTTATTTGTTTTTTTTCATCTTTCAAACAAAAATACACTATTTATAAAGTTCTATATATATAAATCTGCATTTAGGCCTGCTTATCTATCAATAAGATTTAAAACAAGCGCGGTTTATTATTAAACTTTGCGAAAGTTGCTTCTTGTACATTTATCACTTTATAAAGAAATATCCTCTTAAAGACAACAAATGTTTACCTTTATAAGTCCATGTAGAGAAGATTGATCCCTGTTGGTTATTTTCTTCTGAACTTACGTGATCTCCAAGCTTTTGGTTCACACTTAAAACTAGAATAAAGAACACCCTTTCCGTAATGTAAATCTGATGGCATGCATAATTTGCAAATTAACCGGCTAAATCCAGCATACTAATTGTTGGTAATTTTTCTTTTTCATCCAATATCTTCAGCAACATATCCTTTGGAATTGTAGTTGTTCGTGCGGCTGAGTAGACAACGGGCTTTATTTTCATTACTTTATCATTTTCAACTTCAGTATGAAACGTTTTATTTTGAGTAGAATTATCCTGAATGTATAAATTGTCCTTTTCTAATTGTACATCTACGGCGTTTGCATTCACTTCTACACTTCCATGGTTCTTCCCAACGTCCGAATCTAGGTCAGATATACTTACCTTAATAAATACATTTTGTCGTCCGTTATCTGAAGAAACTATTCAAAAGTATTTTGTATATTAAAATAAGCTATTATTTAAAATATATATATATATAATTTGCTTTTCAGAGTTGAATATCTTTTAACTATTTTAATCATGTTTGGCAGGACTGCTTGTATAACAAATCATATATAGTTTTTTATGCAGCTATGAGAAATATATTTTACACCTTAGAATAATTACGCACATCTCTGTGCAGTCTGCAGGATATGCGCCTTTATCGCAGCGCAATTATCAAATAACCTTTCATTGCGAAATCGCAAGCTTAAATTTCTTGACAGAGTAACCCAATCAAAATCCTTGACTTTGTTGCGCCATTTTTATTAGCCTGGTAGTGCCTTAAAAAAACCCACCACCCACCCTTTTTGGGGTTTTTGGTTTTATATTATTTTATAACTTGTCATACGTTTCTTGGATTGGCGCAATTGTTTGGACGCCTCCATGGATTTACTCATTTATGTTATATTTTATGCATATTTACATGTACTCTGATATGTTCACTCCATGTAAATTTCTAGTCAGTCTCAGGGGGATCACACTTGTACCTTTCACCTATGTACATGTAACCTGTAGTCGAATATGTCATTTAATTCAATGACATAAAGTAAAAGGTAAAACAAATCATTAAGGGGGATCACCTAATATTAAACAATACAGGTTACATGTACATAGGCATAAAACAATATTATCACAGATAATTCAATATGTGTTTCTAGTGAATATTCAATCAAACAAATACATCATACCTTCTAGACATGCATTTCTGATGGTAAACACATGCTGATGAAGCTCTAGGCCCCTTGTAGACTCAATATCTTCTACAGCATCCTGAGTTTCTCCCATTAAAAGTTTCAGCAATGTTGTTTTTCCTGCTTCAGCACAACCAACAAGAACGCCTCTTGAGTGTTCAACATTTATTGTGGTTTTCTGTAAAGACTCTTCAAGTTTTTCTAGGTAAATTTGTTGCAAACTCCTCTTTAGAATTTGTGATAGGGCATCCGAATGTATAACCTTACTGCTTGATCCTGAAAATAAAAGACAAATCACTTTGTATGAAAAGTGTAGAAATGTGGAAATTTGCAATGCATGTATATTTTCCTGCACCAAAATAAATAAAACGGCGATGGAGATATATGTAATTTGTAATACAGCTATACTTGTCAAAATTTCGAAGTCCCCACTTTTATATTTTTCAAAATATTCAAAACCTTAATATTGATGTACTAGTTGCTTACAATTTTGCCTTTAACTTGCAATACTTAACCTGTCAAAGCCAAAAAAATTGCAATCGAATGTGTAATTACTCGACCGTGACCGTTTTTGTTCAAAAGCATGAAGTTCGAGTTTTTCTTGTGTTTTCTTCATATTCTTTACTTCCATGTTTTCTCCATCTTCGATTGATAAAGTAAAACAGAAAAATGTCCACACAAGATAAACCAGAGTTTGAGACATCTTTTACAGCAGCAGAATCTAGCGAGACTAGAGGATGACCTAGTCTCCACATGGAAAAACATTCAATAAAAGTTTTTTTCTTAAATAGAGTTAACTCTTTGAGGACCGGTTGTCTTGCTCTGAATTCGTTTGAATGGAGAATAAAGCAGTGTCTAAAGTTGTGAATTTTTAATTCTAGGGTGCCTTAACATTTCTGCATATTGTGTTAAAAGTGCTTCAATAAAATAAATCAAATGAGAAAAAATTGTATTGCTATTTTTTTTATTTTGCAAATTATACTGTTAAAGTAATTGAATATAAGAGTGGTGTAAAGCAAAACTTGCCTGGTGACTTAGAAATTTTGACTAGTATATATTTTCCTGCATTTAAAGATCAATAATTCGATAAAAGGCGCAAATGGACGATGAGAGCGACAGATTTGGATTGATGTTTGTGTGATTTTTTTTAAATTCGAAAAGTAAATAAGAACAGCATATTCAGTATCTACTATGACTTTTTTATTTTAATTTTTCACATAAAAAGTTATATCGTTTATATCCTTGCATATTTTGTTAATGGTTTCTTCTATTATATACCTATTATACATGCATATAATATTCCTACAAATAACATGAAACCTAAATTAAGGACAGATGATACAAACAATTTATTCTTTGAGAAAGATTTAATATCATGTCACAAGTTTAGAAAAAAGGATAATTCTTAGAATATTTTCTCCTAAGAACTGGAAAAGTATTACTAATATTTCAATAAAAAAACATATATAGACAAATCACATTCAGTAAAGGTTTACAGTTGAAAACAAATTTCAAAATATGTTACTTGGTGCTAAAAGTATAATATAAACCTTAGAAAAATATACGAGGTCGGGTGAATTTTAAGAGGAGGAACAAAATGACAAAAGATTAGCAATATTACATAGGCTGATTTTTACAATTTAGCTTTTCCTTATAAATTTCAACTGGCTTGGTATATTTTTCTTTAGTTTATATTACACTTAATGCACCAAGATTACATACTCTGAAATTTGCTTTCACCTGTAAACCTTTACTGAATTTGTTTTGTCTATATTTGTATTTTTTCATTGAAATATTACTAATATTATCCACGTGTTTTTATAATCCTGTTCTAAGGAAAACAAAATCTAAGAAGCATCTACTTTTCTAAACTCCTGAAATGATATTTAATCTTTTTCAAAGAAAAAAATTGTTTGTATCATCTGTCTTTAAAGAAGTTATATGTTATTCATAATGAACGATTTTAGGAAAAATGTTTTCTTTCAAAGGACCTACATGACATATAATAAAAAATAACCAAAATGTGTTAAGGCCTTGTACGTTATTTTAAAGAAAAATCTCATCGGAAAAAAAAATATTTTGAGGCTTTTTTGAAACTGAGAAATGCTAGGAACGGTTCTCAATTATGAAATATTTTTTACATGACTTAACATATTCATATCCTCATTTTCCATTTAAGTCAATCTTATTTTTGTTTTCAAATCGTTTATATCTATAGCTAGGACAAAATAGATTGCTATATTAGATGTCAAACAAAACTTACTTATTCATACTCACTTATTCGCCCACATTTTGCAAATTAGCAATTTTGTAAACAGCTACCTTATGTACATAATCAATTAAGCCTATAATTTCTGTATTCTTTGACATCTCAGTGGTATTAAATGTAAATATTTTAATGCGATATGAGTAAATAACAGAAATAGTGAATATGTGGAGTTATTACATGGATCAAAAAGAGATTCCTGCTTTTTTTATGAAGCCTTGGATCAGAAAGATATCAAAGAAGTATAAAACGTATCTATTTCATGGGAGTAAACATGACTTATGTTGTTTCTTTAGTCAACACCTACAACACTCACCATTATTTGAATCATTTTTCTTTTTTGGACTGCCGATGGATACTGAAAATAAACAGTTTCCAGTTACAGAAGGAAAATACATTTATAAAATTCGATTAATATATGATTAATCATTATGATCTAAATGGAAGAATAATATTTAAAATGTTCAATGTTCTTCATATTTTACATTAGGTTATTACTTCTATACATTACACGTAACTATGTCAGTCTTTATAAATACTAACTGTCTGCCAGATAATCACATCATTTTCTTAACATCAACCTTATACATGTATTTTGTTTTGCAGAATTTGAAAGCATAAAAATCTCCACAAACAAAGTATTAGGTTTTAATTGAGGTATATAATTCTGTTTAAACGTATACAGAATAAATAATAGTGCCTGTTATATTAACATTCATAAAAATTTAGGGAGTTTTTAGGAAGAGAAGGGCTTTCAAATGATAAAAAAATGAAAAAAAAAACATTACTAAGTCCATGAAAACTCAATTTACCTGACACTTTGTATACTCTTGTTCGTAATTCATCTACAGCCCCGAGTCTCTCAATGTATTTTTGAGCATCTTCTGGCTCTATGAAACATGACTTGATTTCGGTAACAGAATCCTTGTACACAGTTGAACTCCCTATGTGTTGTTCTAATTCTATAATGATTTTCAAGATGTTCTCCCATTTCCTATTAAATTCTGAGTCAGAAAGAGATAAATCTTTAGAATTCGCAGAGTATTTGTTCCGAAGAAGGCTGATACGTTCGATGTTTGCTGCAACACTTGTGTCATTTGGGTCTGGGATCTTTCCCCAACCTTTTGGGGGTAATGGTATTTTGCGGACAATCCGAAGTATGTGATACAGTAAAGGTATACCAAGATCTGAATAATCTCCTTTATATTGATTTAGCTGTACGGGAAAAACTATTTGCTGTTGCGATGCATTCACAGCCGTGAATGGGATTCCCTTTTTGTTTTTCAAATAACTATGAGACCATTGTTTCATGACCTTGGGTAATTCAGATGGTGGAATTTTCTTTTTAAGGATATCCCGTAACACATCTGAACAGGGACCCAGTATAAGTCTCGCCAGCCGAGCAGTATTTGCTGTCTCTGGTGTAGATGTACGTTTTGATAATGACATTGTCG